CTCCTTCCTCCTCCTATTTTCCCCAGAACAACAACCCTGTGAGGGGAGTTGGGCTGAGAGAGAATGACTGGTCCAAAGTCACCCAGCTGGCGTTCATGCCTAAGGTGGGACTAGAACTCACAGTCTCCTGGTTTCTAGCCTGGAGCCTTAACTACTAGATCTGATGTTGTCCTGATTATGTGTTGAATCCTAGATGAATTCTTAAGTAGAATTTTTCTACGTAAGAGGTGTTAGATTCCCTAATGGTTATAAATTAATGTTATGAGCAGTATCACTCAGACTATTAGATATGGACACACTTAAGTAGAACTGAGGCAATGAAAACCTGAACAGTCTGCATCCTATAAAAACATCTGGCCTTTGTCAAGCCAGCTTTTCCTGTAGCAAACTGGCAATTTCTTCAATAAGTACCTTTATATGTAATCACTCTGCCCTATGAGCACAAAGGCAGGAGAGAAATATACATATACATTTATTTATTTACTGTCACTCCTTTTCAGAGCATCAGGAGAGTCAAGTGTCTAGCTATGATGATGCATATATCCAGTCACTTTTCCCTGCCCTTTTTATCTGTATCTTTCAACACAGCTGGAGAACATAGTAACATGAAGATACTATTGCATCTTAAAACAGCTCAAATTATGCCACATGGGCCCCACTACATAACTACTGATTCTATTCCTGACTTTTAAAAAGATGGTACTGTTATTCATATTATATACTTTTGGAAGAAATAACTTATGTGCTATCTGGTACACCATTCCACTCATCAAAAACATTATTACAGTTCTTAGTACTTACCTATGAATCGAAAATATATAAAAGGTATACAGAGCCAAAAATGTATTTTTTATTATCTTATATACATTAATAATAGTTTAGAAGTTAAGGAAAAAATGCTGAATAGCTACCATGCCACTTTCCCTTATAAACTGTTCCAAACGAGCCTGATCCAACTCTGGTTGACAGCATAACTTCACTTGCTTCTATTTCCCAGTAATAACTTGAATCCCTCTGTCCACGTGGCCTCTGCAAAACAAGCAAGTACTTCTAGTACAGACAGCATGACACGGAACCCAAGTTTTAGGATTTCATTAAAAGCACACATGAAGTATGTTCCATGATACTCGAATACCCAACCTGGATTGGCCATACAACATGTAAAATTGTGATGCAAATTTAAATTCTGAACAGGAAATATGTGTAAGAAAAATTAGGATTGTTAGCTTTCTGTTCAGAAATCTGTGGATCATGTGAAAAATAATATACACCATAATTTTGTTCCCAATAAAATATTCCAAGTTACAAAATTTATCTTGCCTTCTTTTAAAAATACCCACCCTGAATGCAATTTCATTTCTCTTCCTTTACTCCTTTTCTAATACTCCCTGCATTATTGTCAATTAGTTCCACCAGCTCAAGAGGCTGAAGCATAGACCACAATTACATTCAAACACAGAAGACGTGGGAGAATATCTCAAGTACCAGTAAGAAAATAATTTATTTTATAAAAGTCCTGTGTGTTTTGTTAAAATTCCTTTGTCAAGGGCACTGTCCTTCCCAGCTAAAACAATTTGATTAAAGGACACTAGTGCCCACCCTCTTCTTTCTTTGTACAATTATGCAGGGGGAAGATCTACCGAAAGCTTTAGGACTTCATCTGCACACTTACAATTAGAGTGTCAGTCAGATACGGTAAAGTGAAAGGACCAATTTTTACAAGTTCATAGCTTTTTTTAGAAACTCACACAATATTCAGCTTAAGTCAGAAACATTTAACTATAAGCACATACACAGATATATACACACACACAAATCAGACTCTCATATGCAGATATTTGATATCTGTATTATATTCATTTTATCCAACTACATTTTGACACTTACTATTTTTTTTTCTTGTGGATTAGCTCCTGCAGCTCGCTCTCTTTGAGCCGGAACTGGTGTTTTAGGCTGTGACCACCCTGTTGGACTTGTATTGTTGGGGCTTCCTGACATAGCTGGTGGTGATGCTTCACATATTCAAAGAAAAAAATAACAGATTCTAATAATACAGGACTCCTTCACAAGCAAGGCTTACAGACAGGAATTGGCATGAAACTTGCATATATGCCTTATTGTATAAAGACTAAATAGCGTTTGACAATATCAATGCTAGTTTATACTGAGCTGCAACATTCTAGCACTTCCTATGTATACAGATAGTCCTCACTTAATGACTGCCCTGTTTAGCAACTGTTCAACAGTGCTGAAAAAGTAACTTTATGACTGGTCCTCACACTTATGACCATTGCAGCATCCCACGGTCACGTGATTGCCATTTGCACACTTCACAGCCTGCTTCTGACAAGCAGAATCAATGGAGAAACCAGCAGTGAAATCGCAAGTCACGCTTAACGACCATGGTGATTCACTTAACGACTGCAGGGACAAGTGATGTAAGTCCATCGTGGTCACGTGTTATCTCGCTTAACAACCACATTGCTTAGTGTCAGAGTTGCTGGTCCCAATTGTGATTGTTAAGCAAGGACTACCTGTATACACTACTAGTTATCTGCAAATAGAGCAGTTTCTCTTCAGAATATTCTGTATTCCGGGGATAGTTTGTGCATTTCCAAAAGTGTCTGTTTCAGAAACACTTTTAAACATTTTCTGTTTCCCAAGATATACTTTTGAATAGGTATGAATCTAGATTTTTTTAAGTGGCCCATTCTGGCAGTGGTGAAGATGAACTGCTTCATTTTGCACTTTTATGGAGTACCTAGTTACCATATTTTAGTGAACACACTCACCAGATTCACTGTGACTACGTATAGCATCCTGAAACAAAGAAAAAAATATTATCACTATTTCAATGTAATTTCTGTGAGAAACAGAACAGAGTAGCAAATTTCTCTGTAAAGAGAACCTGACTCAGCAGCTTTGATTTTAGACATCAAAACATCAGCCAAGACATTTGGTGAGGAGGGGATACTGGCAATTTGAAACACAAGGAATCCTAATTGCACTTTCAGAAATTACACATGCTTAGCATTCAAGACTCAACATGAGGCCCAAGTGATTTATTTACAGTTTGTACAGGAATGTCGAAATTATAATCCATATTTTTTGTACATTCTTAGAAATTATTTAAATAAGTGGTATACAAGCAATCCAAAATAAATAAGCCGAGAAAGGAAGAACAAATGCATATGATGGTTTTAATATTTCAAATTCATTTTTGTATAAAATGCTTCTTATCCTAGTGTCTAAAGCCAGTGTTGTCCAAACTTGGCCACTTTAAGATGAGTGGACTTCAACTCCCA